GACATTGCGTCTAAGTCTCCCAAAAGCACTGCTGGCCTTAGAGATTCTGCCGTTCACTTCCTCATCTATGTTTGCCTGCCGTGACATGGTACTGCCCAAGTAGGTGAACTTGTCCACAGGGTTTAGGACTTGGCCATGTACTGTGACACAAGGTTCCTTGTAAAGTTTGCCGGGACGTGGTTGGTACAAGACTTCCGTCTTTTTGGTGCTGATGATGAGACCAAAGTTGTCACAAGCCCCAGAGAACCTGTCGGTTGATACTTGCATATCCTGTCCGCTTGTGGCATTAAGGGCACAGTCTTTGGCGAAGAGGAAGTCTTTCAGGACTGTGTGCTTCACCTTCGTTAGCGCAAGCAGGCGACGTTGGTTAAGTAACTTCCCGTCTGTTCTGTATTTGATGTCTATTCCCTCCTTGGTGCCATGAAAGGCATCAGTCAGCATGGCTGTGAAGACAATACTGAAGAGGGTTGGTGCCAAGACACACCCTTGCTTCACTCCATTGGTCACTGGAAAGGCTGTGGATGTTTCTCCATTGTCTTGGACACGGGCTGTCATACCTTCATGGAACTGTCGTATCATGGAGGTGAAGCGTTCTGGGCAACCGAACTTGGCCATGATCTTCCATAGCCCCTCTCTACTCACCAGATAGGCCTTAGTTAGGTCGATGAAGGTGGTGTATAGATCCTGGTGTTGTTCATGACATTTCTCTTGGAGTTGTCTGGCTGCAAAGATCATGTCCACTGTGCCTCTGCCAGCTCGGAAGCCACACTGGCTCTCCGGAAGGTGACCTTGTTCAAGGTGTTTGATGAGGCGGTTTAGAAGGATTCTTGCTAGGATCTTGCCGGCTATGCACAAGAGTGAGATGCCACGGTGGTTGTCGCAGGACTGACGGTTACCTTTCCGTTTGTAGATGTGTACAATAGAGGCATCTTTGAAGTCCTCGGGGATTGTACCTTTCTCCCACATGGCACGAAAGATGTCAGTTAGCTTCTGGGTTAGCACATGACCTCCAGACTTGTATACCTCGGCTGGAATGCCGTCGAGGCATGGCGCTTTTCCGTTGCTCATTTGGCTGATGGCCTTCTGAGTCTCGGAGAGGGACGGCAGTATATCCAGCTCTTGGTTAACTGGGATCTGTGGGAGACGTTCAATGTTCAATACACCAGATTCCCGATTTTTGTATTTTTCGACGACTAGGAACAAGATAAAAAATAGTGTTTTAGGGATTTTTTAATTTCTGATTTTAAGTCTAGTTTTTGTCGACATATTGGTGAAAAATTTGAATTTTCTTTACATTTTTCACGCTAAATTACCCATCATTCAAAATTGAGGCCAATTTTCAAAAATCCCTAAAACACGATTTAGGCCAGCCGTGAATGGGGTATGTTTGATTCTCCATGCTTGTAAGTTAAAACGAGTTTTGCAGACATGTCATGTCGACCAAAAGTCAGCATTGTGTTATTCATACTGGCGTAAAGAATCATTCCAGTATTCAAGGTCACCCAAGGGTACGGCAGAAGCTTCGCTGCATGTTCCATGACCACAAAAAATGATAGCGGACATGTACTGTCCTGGAAACTGTTTGTATCTATAGAAAAGTGTTGTTTTTCATCTGTTGCAAGGCACGGAGGCAGAAGCGCTTGTTTTGCCTTTTTATTGTAAATGACCGCAGGTGACCCGGAAATAGAACGCGGGCTCGATTCGAATTGCCCGGATCAAACACGATCGAACACAGTTCGGGTTCTATGAAAGGTGGGAACTTTGCAGCCCAGATTTGACTACCGTGATCGGTTTTCATTTAGCCATTTTAAAACTTTGTAAAACATGTATAATTTTTAAAGAACTATTACATAAAACACTGTAACTATAGATTTTCCTCCTTATTTATGAAAATTATGTCCTCGTTTGCATAATTTCCATCTAACTCTCTCTCAGCTATATACACAATAAAAATGATGAAAATACGTTGTTCCTATCTGGACTTATTAGCTTTTAAAGATTTCGCCAAAGTCCACTGCAGTTCCAGAACAAGTTGCTAGGGGGACCTAGCCAATACCACGTATTCCTGACAGGACAAGCTATCTCTATCTGTTACCAAAAAGTCAAGAACATGGCATGTTTAGGACAAAAGATACAAAAACTGGAAGTTCTGCTGCATTACCAAGGTCATCCACCAGGAGGCCCATATCTAACCTTGACCTTTGTCTTCCTAAGACTTATCAGCATACCTGAAATCATCACAACCCATGAAGGTATTATGAAGTTATGCTGACTAAGTTGCGGAACACAAACAGCACAAAGCACACAGACAGACACGCCAAAAACAATACCTCCATTTTTCATGGAGGTAAAAAAAATCAACTTAACCAACAAAATGAAGACCTTACCTTGGCCAAAATATGCATCATTTCGAACCTGGGTAGCGTTAGGATACCCCATCATTCTGCAAACAACGTCTGCATCGTCCATGTTAAAACGGTTGTGGCAAACTGTGCCCCAGTTCATACTGTCCTCTGGTCGGACTTCCACGCGACCTTCGTTAGGCCCGGAACCACCGATGAGACGGATTCTGCTGGGATCTAAATATATCATTACACACATATGTACATGGTGGAATTGGAGGCAAGAACTTGCAATGTAGTATATGTTATAAATGACATAGAAATAAAGCGTAAGGCGTTAAATCTTTGCAGTCGACTATACCAAGGAAGTTCTAGTTGAACGCCCTTGACTATACATTATCATTTTGTAGTTTGGCGGGCAATGAACTTGAAAGACCTATACTTTATTGGTTTATTTCATTGTCTTCGTCAGAAGGACTATGAAATTGTCTCGCCGGAGTGTGGGGAACTGCGGATTTTGCAATATAACTCAGGAAGGCATGATTCGACGTCCATGATTTTTGGCAGGCAGATTACCGCTGTTGAGGCCGAAGTCAAGTACAAGTTTCGGCTTCGTGGGGGGTCCGTGCGTTACGTTAGTGCACCTTTTGTGTTTGTGGCTTGTTAGCAAGATAACTCAAGTATTTGTAAAATGTTGATCATAATTCTTGGTGTGGTACTTACTATTGTCGGGACCAAGGTTAAGTTCGTTACTGAGCTTCGTGGGGGGTTTCGTTGTGACTACAGGGGGCATTTTGTTAATTTTCTTGTGAGCAGGATAACTTTTGTATGTGTGGATGGAAGTTAATGAAATTTGATAGGCATGTTACTGTGGTGGTCTCCAAGATTGAGTTCAAAGATGAGAGTCGTGGAGGTCGTTATGTCCCCGTAATAGGACCTTTTGTGTTTAGAAATCCCCACCTACATCTGCTTGGAGACAGCCGACAGCTGGATATAGCCGGGGGAACCCCATAATGGGATGGGATCAAATGACGTTACATTGAGGGATTGTACTATAACTTCAGCAGGGGGAGGATAGGTTGTACATATGTCAGGTTATTTTCTACGGCCACACCGAGTAATTGCTATGGATGAAGTCCACTGGAGACCTTGAATCTAATTACCTTAAATTTAAGGCAAGCGCGCAATAAAATCACGAAGGGCCGAAAAACGAGATGCCTAGATTTGGAATACACTAACTGTAGAAGTACAAATGTTAGGACACAAAGAACACAAGAAACAAGTCTTCTATTTGTCATAAAGACAAATTAACAAAACAGCAGTAGTCGCCCTGTTCTGATTCTTTCCTTTATAACATCTTCTCTTATCATATTTTGCGGCGCTGTCGTGACACTTTCAACACAGTAAGAATTTCTTGAAGTTTTTTTTCCAGTAACAGTCCAAACTCAAATAACGTAGGGGGGGGGGGGCTAACACGGGTGACGACGCATCTGTATAATCTGCGGCAAACCGTTTCAGGGTGTTCTGTACCATAAAAATAGTTTAGAGATTCTTTTGTTCTTTAGACCAAATTGATTATTAAAAAGAGTAAAGAATACGCATGTTAATTTCTCTAGAACGATGTACCTCTGACGAAGACATGAGATCTCCGATCTCTAGTTTTACTTTAAATTTCTACTTACTTATTTCATCCAATCTAAACTTTGATATTTTAGGGAATACTTAATCAATGTACCGCAGACAACGCCGGCATATTCTCCATCTTCTCCACAGTCGTGACTCCCCCATCCTGCGTACGAGCAGTTAAACAGGCTACTCTCGTTCCCATCACATCGTAGGTCAGTCATGTAGGCCAGCCCTTGTCCATCTAAAAAAACAATTTTGGGAAGATTTTAAAAACGTCATCATGGAAGCATACAAAAAAGCTTCATAAGTTTTCAATACGAATGCGTACGTGAGATAAAAGAAAAAAACGTACTTTTACGAACTAAAAAGTCGTTTGCCCAGATGTAGCCCAGCATTCTGCAAACAACGTCTGCGTCCCTTAGGTCGAAGTGTTTAAAACAGACTCCACCCCAAGTCCAACTGTCGTCCGGTAGAACTTCCACAAGTCCTTCGTTTGGTCCGTGAGGCCCATGCTCAACAAGACGGATTCTTCTGGAATCTAAAGGTATGTCCTTTCAATAACAATTAGTTTAATGCAAATGTTAACTCTTGGCTAATTGCAAATGACGAGAATATTACAGTTCTGAAATTTGATATTTCTTTGAAATACCACCCAAACTATGTATGTAGTAAGGTTTCCAAGTATAGCTCTAAAGGTAAATATTCTAGGAA